TTGCTTACTATGCACGCACTTGTAAAAAATAAAGGCATATCCAAAAACGAGGCAAACTTCCTTCCACCTCAACTAACATTTATCTAGCGATCCATTCACATGTACTATGTACTTCCCAATCACTCAATGAACTAGTTGTATGACAAGAGAAGCATAGATAGCAAAAGCAATCATAATGCAACATTTAGAAAAGGAAGGAATGACTTCCGACCAAACTGAGTGCATTATTTTCTAACTAAAACAGCCTAAGAACATAATAACGTGTACTGTTCTTAGTGCAGCTAACGTTGTCAAGTCATGACTGTCACTGCGAATCACAACCACTAGATTTTGTCATGTTCACTTTGGACCTAGGTGAAGTCGTACTTACCAATAACGGCCGTTGTAACATTAAAGTATTACCTTTATGACACTAAGTAAACGTAGCGATCTCACTTCTTTCACAGAACATTTATTTTCAGTCGTAGTCAGCAGTTCGCGAAAATGAATGAAATAATCATAGGTTGTGTTCATTGTGTTTCCTCGATCATGGCTAGTCATGATAGATTACTCCCGCAAGAGGTTTAAATGTAAATTAAAGAGTCGGACACAAAATAACAACTTTTTAGGATCTTGGTGGACATACCCACGACCCATGCAGCCTAAACGGCAATCAACATCTCGGGCCAGAAGTTTTGAGAGGAGGCTGTACATTTCTGGAGAGAGATCTTCGGGAAGTTCTATATCCTGCCATAGGAAAAAACGCAAAGGGTAACGTTATGGTTCAACAAGAAAACAGAATTTTAACTTTTGCCTGACGCATAAAATTCAGAGTCCCATTTTTAACTAACTTTAAGTTATGCGTGAAGCATCGGTTAAAATAGGTGGTGCTTTTACATTTTGTTACAAAGTTATCAATTCCCAGTTTGATTGATGGTCAGTAGTTTAGAGCTGTAAATACTTGGAGCAAGAAATCCCGATTATTATTGAGAAAAATTTGTTTAACGAAATAGACCATCTATCAACCATAGAAACGGGATGCAAGAGATAGTAGATGTTTTTTAGCTGAAAAATGGCAATATTTGTATGTTATTACATGAAGCGCACGCTTTATGATTGACTCCAAAACACACGACGCTGCGAGATCAGATATGAGGGGACAAAAATTGCAAATGGCCAACTTGCAACAACTAGCGTGAACCCGCCTCCTCAGAATGTTTGGTGGTGGTACAGCGCGCCAGACTGGAGAGTTGAGTGGCACAGCACTCACCATGGTCATGGTCATGCGGTCGATTTCGTGCTTGTCGCGCACTTTGTGATGCCTAAAAGGACTGTGCCCACGGAGGAGTTTGTAAAGCATGCAACCGAGAGAAAACCAGTCGGCGGAGGAATCATAGGACCGTCCACGTTGTAGCACCTCCGGCGCCATGTAACCGTGGGTACCAACGCTGGCGTGTGGCCGCTTTCGCAAGAAGTCACAAGCCAATCCAAGGTCGCTGATTCGCACGTGGCCATACTCATCCAGCAGGATGTTTGCAGGCTATGTTAACAAGGAATTAAAAGAAAATTGATTGTGGACAGTAATTATTATGAAGCTAAATCTTAGAAAACAAGTCCACTACTTGGAGAGTTCATAACTGACCGTATGCAATGACTAAGTTATTTAAATGTCCAGTATTCAAGCGACTTCAATCATGCCACCCACGTTTATGGCATGGAAATAAAAGGACGACCAAGAAACTGATTAACCATAAAGCAGGCTGATGTCCTTCGCTTTATAGTACACACAATAAAAGTGATGTATGGAAGTCAGCCAAGTGGTATTTTTTGCCTTCAGCATTATGTTTATGATTCGTTTGAAAAATCAACGAACAAAACAATGAAGGTACTATTCTAAAGTTCAATGGTATAACTTGACTTAATTGAACACTTGAATTCAGTAACATTAAAAACGTGGACGGAAGCCATCGTAAGTTGGGATTCTATTTTAAAGTCACAACAGAGAACTTTCTATGTAAATGTAAAGAATTTCTTTGTTTGGCGTAGCTCTTCCTTTAGGCGTACGGATCAAGTATTTAAACAGCACTGGACTAAGTAAACATACTTGTCCCTGTACTTCATTATACTTTTCGATCATTGCGATAAGACAGGTTGGTACGTATACTGACAGGGTATGAAGTACATGTGTACAATTAATTAACAAGACTGATTTGGTTCGCAGACAATGTAACAATTCAACCTTCTGACATTTTCCCGATTGTAAAAGTTATATCAACAACTTTGTCTCCTTTCTAAATTACCTTACAGTCGACTTCTACAGGAACCCATCAGGTTTCAAACTTGATGCAGGAGGCTTATCCTTTCATTTGGCTTAACGATTAATAAAATTTCACACATATAAGGATGATACGCGCATTGGATAATGTTCATGGCGCAATAAATTGCCATTATAAGTTTGAACATTATCCAGTGATGAAAAGATCCATGATCAATTAAAGGTTCATTATGAAACGGAAAACGACATTGTAGTAAATCAAACCTTCAAATCCCGATAGACGATGAAGCGATTGTGCATGTGTTCCAAACCGAGGATCACCTCTGCAGCGTAAAACCGTACTTCAGACTCACTGAAGACATTGTGCTGCGTCAGGTGATAATGCAGATCGCCACCATTCATTAGGTCAAGGATAAAGCATAGTTTCTCAGGGGTTTGGAAAGCATAGGTCATGCAGACTATGAAGGGGCATCCCTCCTAAAAAGGGACACGATATTTTCATTTAGGACTTCCTACTCTGCGTTTTTTAACTCATCGAACAATACCATAGACTGGATTCTTGAATCTCCCAAATAGTGCTGCGGAATGACTTATAAAAGTTGCCAAGGTTACACACGTTACCAAGTAGTTGGCATCTATGTAAGAATCATCTTACGTTCCACAAACTTATGCGCTGTAAAAGAGCGATTGAATAAGTCACCCTTAACGGGCAATGCGACTAAGCGGTAAGCATGATAGTTTCAAGTGCGTCAGGTAGAGAGAGCATAAAATTGGGTAGACAGTTGAAACAACATTTCAAGTGGATATGCGTAATTATATGGAACAGCTTAGCTGTCGCCTTCTGCCCAACTTTAACTGGCTCCTCTCTTCGGACAGTAGCGCTGACAAATGAAATCGCCGTTTGGTGCAAGCGCAACGAAATGTATATACAGACTAAAGTGCCTTTCATACCCAGCCTGTATAGTTGTTCCGTTTTGAGGAAAGCATAAACTAAAAATATTGAGAGCTCTACATCCGCATCATAATGAGACTCTTCGCTACGTAAACTTACCTATGAAAAGCGAAAATAAGATAGGCATTACTCAAAAAGCGAAATAGATTTACAGATCAGAATTGGCGTAGTAGCAGTGGTTACAGATCACAAAGCTGGTTTTATTATCCTACATAGCTTCAATCATGTAGCATCAATCGAATCAAGCGTAATTCACGTCTGGCTGCTCAAATGTTCTGATATTTCTGTGGAAGTTAAAGCAAATAAACATTTAAACCACATAAAATTAACAACAGCAACTCGTACACATAAGGTGTGAAAGCATTAACAGAGCCTTTTCTGTTAT